GTAAAGTTTGTCATTACAAGCGTTTATATATTTTTACTATATTTTTTACACTTCTATATTAATCAAAAAACTATTAAAGACTTTACTTAATTAATTAAGCTATTGATTAATTTATACCCATTTTGTTTCAGAAGTAAAGGATGATAGAGATTCAGATTCAGTAAACCTTAGTGATAAGGAGTCCGTAGAGATTATAATGGGAACAGAACGAGATCTTGGAAGCGAAAGTACAGACAATACAAATACGAGTCTTGCAAAGAAAAAGGCTAGAGCAATCAATTTAGGTAAGCGAAAATATACTTAAAAGAAAAATGCGTTTTTATGTTTTGGATGTAACAATATGATATGTATACACTTATTTAGTATTATGTTTTTCATTTGATTATTTATTGGTTTAAAATATATTTTCCTTAATGGGTAATGGGTCGGGTCATATTACATGTTAATATTATCGGGTCGATTTTGAGTCAAGTCATTTTACCCGTTTATTTTAACGGGTATTACATGACACGACCCGTTAAGATATTGGGTATGACACGAAAACGACATGAACACGTAAAACACGACACGAATGTCAGGTCTATAGTCAACCAAAAAGCCAACCAAGCTGCCCAGGCGGTCAACTATGTTAAAACTTTGGAATTTCACTAAATGGATGCCAAAAATGGACTCGGGGCATCGAAATTAGCCTAGGAGAGAAAATTTTAAAAAAGTCAACTAACGGTTAACAGTTAACTTTAACGGAATATTCCATCCTCAAACAGAATATTTTGGTAAATTAACAGGTCCAAGTTTGGTTTGAGTCAATGGGTCGGATCCCAAATTGGATCTGGGTTTTGGGCTATTGGGTCAGGTTGACTCGTTTAGGCTCGCATGTTGCACCCGCCAGACCCATCGAAGAAGAAGACCAGATTTCGTAGGAATTTGGCCGAGAAACTTCCCAAGCTCTGTTATGGGTCCAAACCCAACCTTTTTCAACATACTATATATGGATTTGAAGTTATGGAAGAGTAGATTAGGAATATACCAATATGGGAACGAGTAGTGATCGAAAACAGCCGGGAAATGGTCTGCAAAACTCGTGGACTTCGCTGAAATCTGGGAAATAGTTTCCCCGAGTTGGTTCTGCATTCAAACATCACTAAAAAATCCTTAGAGATACTAGAAACATATATTAAGACATGATCCAAGAAGATTTAGGTTAGTTTCGATGCTCACCATTGTCGAAAACTCGAGAACTCACCAGAAGAAAATATGAACAGTGGCAGTGCCACTGTGCAGAGAGAGACCTTAGCCTGGTCTAGGATCGTGACTATGAGAATCTTAAGGTAGTGGTTGCTGGTAAAGATGCTCGTCGGAGTAGCGAGTAAGGCTGGAGGTGATGTTGCCGGTGTTGCAGCAAAGGAGAAGGACGGGAGATGAGAAAGAGACGAGAATGTTGAGGGAATAGAGAGTTCGAGATATTGGGGAAAGGGACACACGGCAGGGAGGGGAAGAAGGAGAAAAGGGTGTAGGCCCCACTGCCACAAAAAAAAATCCTACCTAAAAAAAATATAAAAAAATATAATACTAATATAATTAAATAATTAAAAAGGTAATTTTACAAAAATATATTTCGGATTCATAGTTCCGTCAAATCTTCGTTGTAACTCCGATTTCAGTTCCACTTGAGCCTGCACGTTCGTAGCGACAAGTACTACAATAATATGCTAAGAGAATGGTTCATACGTGTTGCGATACGACAGTCAACGAAAGTCAAAATCCTCGCCTCTAGGAGCATTTTGGTCGTTTCACACTTTTAATATTAAAACATCGTAAAAATCAGGGTCAGGTCCTAACAATCTACTCCCTTTAAGAAAATTTCATCCTCAAAATTTGCCATAACTTGTTGTATGTATAATACCCAAGAGGTAGGAAGAAATATATATAAAGAAGAGATCAAGTTAGAACGGTTGCATAAAAGATAATGTCACTCCGTCGCGATCGAATTGCAATGATTCCTCTTTCATGCCTCCAACTCAAACTTTCCTTCTTATAACGTAATACCTTCATAAAAACATAAGGTCAAAAATAGATCTATATATATATATATATATATATAATTATATAACGTCAAAATACATATACAATAACATGAAATTAATAATTATACTGAAATTAAAATCGAAAATACAAATGATTTTCACATATGCACTCGTAGTGTCACGTACTCCGAGGATATGTGTGTATTATCTTAGGGTCAGCCCAAACAAACAATAAATAAAAATACTAACTCATACGGGCCTACTTGTCTACTTGCTTGATGAACCCAATGAATAAGTCATTGATATTACAGTCTGCAGTTTGCTATACCGACAACTCACTGTTGTCTCGATAATCAAGTAATAAATTCTTGAGAGTGAAATATTACCATCTTGTCCCTCATTGGGAAATACACATAAATCGTCCGAATAATGCCTCGATCGCGCTCACGTATTACCCTCTCGGGCAACATCATTTATAGTACATCGTAATATCAACCCTTTAAATACCTGTTCGTAATACTCTTCTGTCAATCATGTATTGTGCGTAGAATCTCTATACAACGTCTCAATGGTACCACAGCCAAACTGAAATAATAATCGTCGTTGTACGCAACTCTAACAGAGATAAGTGTCTGTTACAACCATGCCAAAACTGCAAAATGGACAACACACAACATGTCCACTAAGGTCTAGATAATTTGTTCAGACTGGCCATTAGTCTGAAGGTGATATGTGGTCTTGGATAACAATTTAGTACCCATGACTTTCAAGAAGACTTCCCAAGACTTGGAAGTGAAATGACGTCACGGTAAGATACAATAGTCATAGGTACACCATGTGCCTGAACAATATGGTACACCAGTACCTCAGTGAGCAGATCCATTGTGAATTTCTCTCGGATTTAGCGAAAACTACGCCAAGAAGGCTAAAAGAACAATCAAGAATTTAAGGGTCAAAACAAGTCCATCAAATCTAGAATACAAGGTAACTAGATTGTATGCATAACATCTCGCTACAACGGTAGCTTCCGGGAGATTCAATCACCGACGGTAAAGATTCGTTCAACAGAGTACTTGTTAGGTGATTGAAGAATTGACATTTACAACTAAAATTTAAATGTCTAAGTGATTCTCCTAAACAGTCACAACTAATCTCAAAGGGTACTTGTTATGTGAAAGTGAATTAGAACCTTAGTGGATGTTATTGTAATGTTTTTTAAGGGAGTTATGTAAAAAAATGATAAATCTCAAAGGGTATTAGTGTAATAACCCCAAATTTGATTTAGATCAATAAGTATTTTTATATTCGGATTTAGCCTACAAATAAAGATGACTGGAGCCTCCAAATCTTAGACACAACGGATAAAATTTTCCACATACCAGTAGCACTCTTTTTTATTATGCAGTCCACGACTCCCTTCGAGTCACTCTCAATGATCACTTCAGGAAAAGCGAGGGGATATGTAGGGGGAATTCCTTCCTCTCTTGCAAGAAGGGTGGGGCTAACAAAACAGGAGTAATCTCACTAAAAAGAGAGGAGCTTCTCTGCAAAACTCGAGCAGGGGAAGGATCTAGTCCATTGAAAGGCATGACATCTCTCTTTCCAAATCTCCCAACCATTAAACTGAGAAATTCAGAAAAGCGAGGGTGTAGGATTTTCGTGTTTACAGAGGGTTCGACAAAGAAGGCTTTGTACCATACCTAAGAACCACGAACCCAATGTTATAACTAGTCGAGGATTAGGCTTGTAGTTTAACAAAGAGCCAAACCAAACACACATCACTCTGGGGCATAAAAGCAGCACGCGTTCCATAGATTCCTCAAACATTTTACAAAAGGGCAAAGAGGGTTTGAGGCAACCTTGCGACAAAAAAATGAGAAAGCTTTGTAGGATGGCATTGGTTATCGCTCTCCACGGAAAATTGTTCGCCTCTGGGACCGCTCTGATGTTCCAAATCAATTTCCTTACCTTGTTGTCAATTTGATGAAATGAATGCATCGAGACCCACCTTTATCAATACTAGTCAAAATTTGACTTCAGATACTGGATCCGCTATATCCCTAGAAATTCAGGTGGATTTAAACTTCCCCAGGAAATTTCATTTGCTGAGGTTTTCCTTGGTTAGCTTTTCAAGTATCCTTCCAACATTCTCTCCCTTAGCAGAATTGTAAGGACTGCTTCCAGTAACTACATCTCTACACTCATTAGGTTCGCCCATTTCCATAAGAAAGCAGTAATGGGGGCGATGGGTTCGGTTAAAAACTTCTTCAATGAAATAGGAAAATTGACATAAACCCAAAAGCATTGATGTATTTAAGGCAAAATTCAAAAATTTGAACTTTTCAAATTAAACCATTTGACTATCTTTTTACGTAAGCAACTTAACTTATATTTTTACTGATAGACTATCTTACGGTTGCTATTAAATTAATAAATTTTGTCCTTCTCCTTAATTTTTGTTTTGATATAATGTTCTTCAACAAAAGAGTTTTTTTTTTTTTTCCTTTCGAAATGTGATGAACCATGCTATATTACTCTTTTCTCAAGTGAATCACAACACTTTCATTTCTAGCAAGCCATCTGATGTTTTCATTCATCAATCCACAAGTTATCTAACAAGTAGGTATAATACAATATAGGCTCATATACAAGTGGATGACAAGTAATGAGAATTTGGCAGGAAAGAAAAAATAATAGAGCAGAGGGTCACACAGATGGCTGCAATATGGTGTAATCATTCCATGGCTAATATTTTGCTAAAAAGTGACTACACAACTCATCTTTTCATTGTGGGAGGGTCCAACGACTCCGTTGTTGCTTGCTTTCAGGCATGTAGAAAAGGCATGTAGAAAGGCTAAGGGGGTTCCAAAAACAATGCACAGCTATCATGAGCCCCTATCCTTTTAAATTATGTAAGCATCAAAGCTCCGTCAGAACCAAGTGTCCTTCCCTTCTAATCATTTCTCCCTAATCTCATAATCTGGATGTTCACATCCAACCCAATAGTCGACACAATTTATAGTTGATAGAATGTTTTCCAAGAGTTCTTTACATGTCCCAATGTTCATTCCGAAAAAGTAGTGCTGGCAAGCACAATGTGAACATAAGACGAGCTGTAAACTTAAGTATACTAAATTCCGACCACCGTCACATATGTGAAACATATGTAGTTTGTTGTGATTGGACGTATTTGAAATCCATTGTCTAAAATGTGGAAAAGAAAATGGCACAAGCACAGAACATAGTTGATTCTAATATAGTATTAGTGTTGTGTCACTAGAGTGTTGTGTCACTAGATTGCACAACACAGAGCTGCTCATGGCGCCTCATCCGGAATTTGAGCAACATCCATTTAAGCGCCACTTGTATGTCTGCGAGGCGCATGTACAAATTTGGTTGCTAAAAAAACTTAATTAGCTAGGTTAATAGCGTCCTTAAGATAATATAGCCTAGACTTCTGAATAAACAACAATTTAAATATTAATTAAACATTTGGCACAACATAATCGTAGTGGCAGGTCAAGAAAAACTAGTGAAGTAGTAGTAGTATATTTTAGCAAGTGCTAAACCCTGGAAGGGCAACTTAAGAGAATGAAATTACGTTCTTCTCAAATGTTTATAGCAGTATGCAAGTGAATACATCATTCCATATGGTATTAGAAATTAGACTCAGATTTTCAATTGAATTCCTCTCTATCCGACAATAGTCGAGAGGATTCGTAATGTTTTCATTGCTTGTACTGCAGGATTTGGATTAGTTGATCATGGGAAATGAGATGGGTAACAACAACACATCAGGTTTGAGAGGTATGCATGCATGGCAGTTTGAAGTTTTTGAAAACGTTTTATTTGTTTTGTGTTTTGTTGATTCATATATCTTGAGATTTGCAATTGCATTCTCCTACAGATGAAGAGAACACAACAGTTGGTGAAGTTGCCGATAAACCTTTGGCAAAAACTACTCTTGCAAATGACACGAAAGAAGAAAACGTAGTACCGGAAGATGAAGGAAAAGATTTTCATGAAAACATTACCAACTTGGCTTCCGATGATCCAAAGAGAATACAAGATACTTGTGTTGATGATCAGACATAACAGGTTAGCTACTTTCTTAATACTGAATCGCTGATTAGAAAAACTATTGTCACTTAACATTTGGTCTTCTGTCCATAAAGCAAGAAGCTATTTAAGTTAATCCTCTTGATGAACCATTAAAAGTTCAACTCGAATCGAATGAAGCAGGTGAAGAAGACGGTAAAATGCAACTAGATCCATCAATTAACAATTCGGGATATGAAAAGCCGGTAGAGCGAGATATAGAGGAGAATGATCTGCAAGGAACAATCGAGCACTAGTTGAATAGTTTCTTAGATATTTCAGTAATTAGTCTTAGTACAAGTAATATATTTATTTGAATTATTTCTGTACTTTTAATTGAACTTTAATTCTATGCATTTCTGAATAAAATTTGACTATATATTTAAATGAGAAGGAGAAAAAAATCCCAACATAATACTTATATGCTATAAACTGCAACAGAGGAAGAGGGGACAATGTCCACTTCACATGATCCCGGACCTAAAGAATCCACACATGTGGAGTTACATCATCATGAAATGGCTACAGTTGATGCTGATGACCGAACTGTAGAAGATGTCAGTGGATGTTTAGAAGGAGGAAGTGAAGACTCTCTGGGATCAAATCCTGATTTTGAGGTGAATGGCCATCTCTCGGATGCTGAGGCATTGGAAATTGTGGGCGAAAGTGTTGATCCAGTTATGGAGAAGCAAAGGGATGACTTATTACTGGAGCCGAAGGCATCCCAAGAACAATTTGAATCCTTCGAAGAGAAGTCTGAAACTACAGACGGAGGTAAGGTTGAATGTGGATTCAGCATCGTTACAGCAATGGCATCAATGGTGTTCTGAGTGGTTTAGGAAACGAAAGTCATGAGAAGTTTCCAAATGAGATGGATTTGATTGGAAATTATTGCTCTGAATTTGAACAGGAAGCTGTTCGAGTGCGTAAGTCCCCAAACTCCCATCTAGAAGCTCCTGAACCCGAAGACAAATGCATGATTGTAGAAGAGGCAATCAGACTAATCGAAAAAGAGTTGGAAAATGGAGAGAACAACCATGATGGTAACACAATCCAATCTTGTGGAGAGCCAGTGATAGAACCAGATTCTTTCAACTTAACTGAGCCTCAATCTGAAGTTGCAACGATTGTCTCTATACTTAAGAGCGTCGAAAAGGTACATGTATTTAATCCTTTAAGTGACAGAGATTGTCGAATAGAGGAGACAAAAGTTGATGAGAACGGCAACCATGTGTGTTGGAAACCAAAGTGAGGATTCTGTGTACCACTTCTCCGACTTGGAAGAAAAAGTTGAGGTGTTTCCTGAACTTGTAATGGTTCCAGTGGAGTTAACTGTCGTGCTTTGCAACGACGATGAAGAGGAGGCAACAGAGAAGACAGTTGTTGAAGAAAATGGGAGAAGCTCTGGCCCCTCAAAGCACCGACTCAATTCTAAATTCTAAGTACGAGAATTGTGGTGAGTTCTTTGCTATGAAAGCTTCCACTGTTGATTTCAATAACTGGATAGCCGAAGCATTAGACTCCATGAACAAGTTGGCACTTGATATGCCTGGTCAGCATGTTATAAAACATAATAAATCGTCTCAAACAGAAGCAAAGGCAGAACCAGAAACTAAAGTTGCAGCCAGCCAATCCAATGGACAATGTGAAAAAGTTGAAACATCTGAATCTGTAAGCTGTTATTTTGAAACACAAGAAAATATGAGAAGGTCCAGCACTGAATCAGATGCTGATAACCTGGATGTTTGTGCTCAGATACAAAAATCTCCAAGCTTTAGCGTTGACCTCCAAAATGAAGCGAGAACTGAAGAATCAGATTCTACCCCTTTGCTGTACCATGTCAAGGCTGCAATAGAAGGCTCAACAAGCCAAGGTGATGATGTTACTCTTGGAAGCTTTATCGAGTACACTGGATATGATCAAGAGGTTTCACAGTACCAAGCAATGCTGGTGGAAGGGAAAGTCATCGCATTAGAAGCAAGTAACTCACAGAAGTCAAATACTCCATTCATAGGATTCTTGAAGGAAGAGGAAGAAGCACGTACCGTTGTTACACCACAAGAAGATGATAAGCATTCGACTGCTGAAAATTCAACCAAGAATCTATTGGACTCACGTACAAAAGAAGCTGCTAGGGCTCCAACTACTTCATCAAAAGGTAAAGCGAAGCGCAGGCAGCGGTCTTCGCTCTTTACCAACTGCATGTGTTGTGCAACTGTGATTAACTGAATGCCTCTTAATTCATATATATTGGTTTTTCTTGGTGATTTTTTTTCTAATTAATTTGAGTTTTCTCGGAAATAGAGTTCTGATCAAGAGTGTTTGTTTTCACTTGTTCCTTCTGTTTCTTTATTTATTTCATTGCCTTAAAACTTATATTACCTTGTCATGTAAGTTATCCTTTAATGTAATTCCATCTATTTATATGATTGAGAGATAATTAATTTGTATGGTTTTGGAGGGAATTGTATTATATATGCTGCTTCTGATTGTAATATTTGTTCATTTTTATTCATATGTTACAATGACATTGATATTGAGGGTTTATTCCTCATCAACTTAATATTGAGGTCACTACAAGAAAACAACACATCTATCACGACAATTTTACCATAGACTTTATGAGCTCGTTGTAAAAATAAAAATTTACCACGGGCATAATAAGCATGTCATAAAAAATAAATTTTCATCACAGATAAATCTTAGCCCGTTGTAAAATAACAATGAATGACCACGTGCAAAGTTGCACATTGTAAATATACTAACCCACCACGGACAATGCTTGTGGTCAATATTTTTAGTTCTACAGTGCATTTTTGTTATCAACCATGGACATAATGTGTGGTATAATCATACACATAATGAAAAATATTTAGAAAAGGCGGGACACCGAAATTTTGTGAAATTTCAAACATCTTTGATATTTGAAAATTTCACAACTCTTTAAATCTCCAGTCGCTCCTTTTTATTTCTAATCAAAATCCTATGGCATCAGGGATCCGATCCAAATTAAATTGAATCCTCAAATGGAAAAAAAAAAAAAAAAAAAAGGAGGGTGCACAAGAGAGAAAATGGTGGGTTCCTCTTTCTTTCTTTATCCTTTTTTTTTTCTTTCATCCCTTACACTTTATTTCCTTTCATGCTTGGTTTTTCCTAAACCTCATGAGTTTTGGTAATGGTTACTGTAGGGGCAAGAACAGCAGCTCAGCACTAAATGGGAAGGCTATGTTGACTGGAAAAGCCAACCTACAATCAGAGGTCGCCATGGCGGCATGCTTGCCTCCTCCTTTGTGCTGGGTATGCGTCTCCCTTGTGTTGCAATCAGAGATTGCCATGGTGGTATGCATGCATCGATCCAACATATCATAAGTTATACCAAATAACAAATATAGGGTTATCTAAATTTTACATGAAATGTTAGCCACTTGAGTGCATCCATGGGTGGACTTTTTATGTCTTACAAACTGAAACTTGCAGATTAATTCTTACTTCAGTAGAGTTCGAAAGGAATTAAACATTATAGTATGGAAGCAGTTTGGGTTGCAAAATACGTGACTTCGGGGAAAGAAACATTATTGTGATGAGGAAAACGTGGAGCAGTTATGTATTTGGAGATAAGGGCAAAGAGAAAAGGGGAAGAAGAAGGGAAACGTGCGGTTTCCCTCCTTTTACATTTCATTTATTTTATTTTGTGTTTTACATATTTATTCATAATCATAATTGAATTGAAGTGAAGTGATTCTTACCTCAATTTTCTGCAATTTTGGTTGATAAAGAACCTTCTGTTAATAAATAGTATAAATTTTCCTAATTATCATATTGATTTCTTTTTCGGTTTTGGTTATTCTGTAATTTATTATATTGTAATAAATATGAAATTTTGTTGGTTATTTAGTATATAAATATTTAAATAGATATTTATTAAATAGATATTTTTTTTATTTGTGGAAATTTTTTTATAACGGGCATTAACCATGGTCAATAAATAATTCACAACGGTCGTAACACGTGATATTAAATTCCAATCTATCACAGGCACATTTCGTGGTTACATTATGTTTGACAACGGGCATAGCCTGTGGTAGAAACTAAGACTTTTTATCACATCCAGATTACTAACGGGCACAGTGCTCGTAGTGGATTACAATTTATCATGGACATTCACCGTGATAGATGAGCTCTTTTCTTCTAGTGGGTTAGTGACAAATCTCTCCGTTTTGTTATAATTATCACGGTCTAAACTTTTGATGATGCATCCTGATGGTGCCAAATTGTTTACCATTACCATAAAAACTTCTAGTATGACCGTCGAACAGAATCTTAGATATCACTAGTTATATACAACTATGAGTTTCTCTCTTATCATTTTTTTCACTATTCTTTCGTGAATGAATGACAAATTTTCTTCATGAAAAAAATGCAAGGTTACTCAGTGCAGTTATTGAGGAAACATCAAAGCTCCCCATACTCATGATTGAGCCATTTTTAATTCTGGATTCCAATAGAACTATGGTTAGCCTAAGCAAACTGGGGCCAGGTCATTAGGCCATCTCCAACCGAAGGCTGGCCAAAGGGCTCGTTTTAGCCCTCTCGTCCTCCAAGAAATTAATATTTTAATGAACAATGCAATGCCATATTCCTTACCATCTCCAACCGAGGACCATAGGGCTCGTTTTAGCCCCTGTCACAAAAAAAAATCTTCAACCGAGGGCCAAGGGGCTATAGTATGGAATGCGAAGAATTGAAATAAAATGAGGTAAGATAGTATGAAATTGTGAAAAATATGTGAGAAATAGAGTAGGAAAAAAATTAGAAATTAAAAAAAAAGGCTACCGGGCATAAAAGCAAAAAGTGGGCTGGGACCAAAAAAAAAAACTAAGCCCTAAATCCTAAAGTGGGCTAGGCAAATGGAAAAGAACAAAAAAAAGAAAAAAGAAAAAGGGCTGGGCTAATGGAAAAGAACAAAAAAAAAAATGAAATTGGGCTAGCCAGTGGGCTGGCTCGCTAGCTGAAAATGGCCAGCCGGTTTGCCTTTTAGCCATTTTTTGTCCAGTGAGGCTCACGAGCCCTTTGACCTGGCTCTCGGTTTGAAACGGTTTTCAGGCTATTTTCGACCATTTAGCCCTCTGGACCCTTCAGTTAGATATGACATTAGGGCCAATAAAAGGCCTTATCTAGTTTTAAATCTTTCACGATACATCAAGTTTCTTTATCGATGCAAGTGATATTTTATTTTAATAGGGATGAAGATTTAAATTCAGATGCATAAGAAGGAGCACATTTGCTACAGTTAATATGGCTATTTCCGCGTCCGCAGAATGTCTTTGAAGTGATAAGACATCGTCAGAGAAGATCATTCGCAATGTAGGTTTTGGAAGTTTCCACATTCCACGCGGTTTTGAGGACGGTCTAAAGTTTGAACCTTCGAAGCTATAGCAAAGAAAACATGAAATTCAATTGATATTAGAAACCACATTCCAACCATTGATCTTCGGTCAAAGTCAGACTTCACAACAGAAAAAGTTGGAGAAACTTCAAATCAAGAAACCCCTCTTATGAGTTGGAAGATAATCTAAAAAATTACCCAAAAATTCAAAAAAGAAAAATGAGAAACAACTTCCACGTCACTATTTTTTTTTTTGTACATTTCTTTTTTTTTTTAACAAAAATATCATCTACAGTAAACGATGAAGGGTAGGCTAAGTCTCAGAATGAGCTAGCAATAATGTGGTTTAAATTCGCATTTGTCGAAAATCGAACCTAAGAACTTTCACTTACCAATGAAGAGGAATACTACTAAACCGTAATACTCAATAACTGTATATTTTTACTTTTAAATTGAGTAAATTAAAACAAAATCAATAAAATAAATTTAAAGGAGTGTGCAAAAGAGAAAAATTGGGGATAAATCATTCTAAAAATGGAATGAAATGAATACAAAACAGAAGTAGATAAATACATCCCATAGAACAAAGATTTTGATACATCATCACATTGAAACACACCATGATATTGACCAAGTAGAAATTGAAAAAGAATTACAATGTGGAATTGAACAAATTGAACAAATCAAAGGGTACAAGTCAAGTCCTCCTACATTTTTGGTCATTTGACAACACGAATACAAGTTTATATTGCCTGAGGGCTAGTGAGGATGAATTTGAATGAGAGAATTTTGTTTAAATTTATCATCCAATGGTCATCATCATCTTCACAAATTCATCGTAATTCACTTGTCCATCACCGTCCAAATCCGCCTCCTTGATCATCTGCTCGACCTCTTCGTCCGTCAATTTTTCTCCTAGATTGATCATTACATGCCTCAGCTAAAAAAAAGCAAGAACAAGAACAAGAACAAACACGATATGTGAAGTGTTAGATTATGTTGGCAATAAAATGTCCACGTGGAAAACAATATAAACATTGTCTAATGAAGGTTTGGTTAGTGTTCATTGCATGGGAAAAAGGTACAGGGAATCAAGATAAGGATGGATCCTCATAAGGAGAAATTTTTCATTGTGACGGGAATACGAGTGGTACATCACATGTTTTTATGTTAGTGGTGGAAAATTTTATTTTTTAAGTTATTAACTTTTTGACATACATATCCTACTATTTATATAATGACATATAATGTACCATCTCGTATGCCATTTACATTGAAAATTTTTTCCGTCAGAAGAACTTGGGTTAAAATGATGTGATTTACTTGGATTAAATATTGGGAATTATTTCACGACTACCCAAATAAAACATTTTATAAGCAAGCATTAGCATCACTTAAGCTATATGATTCTCCCTATTATTTTTCTAAGTACATCTTATCAGAAACCATGCTGGCAATCCCTGCTACCAATGCTAGAAATTTAAAGTCAGTGCAGTGAAGCCATCACTCATTCTGAATTTGGTGGTGGCCTCTCACTGCTCTAACAGCTGAAAGTTTGTTTAGGCCATTAGTTGGTATTATTAATATTGTTTATTGAAATAACAGAATTTGAATACAGAAGTAAATGCTCTTAGCTATTTGAGTTATAAATTCTATGCAAGTAATTGTCCTTTAAAAATCAATGTAACCTTGTCTCTATATGTTACAGTTTCTTCAATACATGTTTTTTGAGTCTCATAACTATGTCTTGGTGCTAATATGTTCTAAATTCTAGTGCAACACTATGAATAATCATTTCAAACAAATGAAAAACATGTTTTGTTTTGTGAGCAAAATTGTCACATATGTAAATAGACAACCGTCTTATTGGCAAGTGCATTTTATTTGATAAATGCAAATTAAGTTGATAAAAATTAACCTTTCATCCAGTTAATTAACTTTTTGTAGAGAAAATGTTGCTAAAAATTTAATTAATCAGATGAAATTTTCATTGTGTTTACCTCAGTAGCTGAAATATAACCATTCTGATCCTTGTCAAATACTTTGAAGGCCTCTTTGAGCTCCTCCTCTGCATCAGTTTCCTATTGAAAAAAAATCATACAAACAGAATTCAGAACATTTAAATAACATTTCAGCCTAATTAATTTTTATATAGTCAAATTATATATATCTGCAATGCCATGCACATATATTATATACCTTCATTTTGTTTGCCATTAAGCTCAAGAACTCTGCAAACTCTATGGTTCCATTTCCGTCAACGTCCACTTCGCTTATCATGTCCTGAAGCTCCTTCTCCGTCGGATTCTGATCAAGAGACCGAATCACCGTGGCCAGTTCATCCACAGTAATGCAACCTAATAAAACACATATTCAAAAATATTTTCCGTCAATGCCAGTTCATGGTTATCAAACGAGTGCTTAGTTTTTGTGCATACACTTCCAAATCTGAGAAGGTAAAAAACACTATATATAGCTGTCTAATGCCAGAACATGTTATATGTGTGTATATCTTATAGAGAATAAATACTAACCAAGAATGGAGGATATGATAGTAGGAAACTCACCATCTCCATCCTTGTCAAATAGACAAAATGCTTCTTTAAACTCAACAATCTGTTCTTCGCTTAGTACGTCTGCCATCTTCTTCTTCTTTAAGTTATACAACCAACCTCCCAAGTCTAGAGAGATAAAGAAAGAGCTCTAGAGAAGAGTTTTAGAGAGAGAGAGAGAGAGAGAGAGAGAGAGAGAGAGAGAGAATGTTGAGTATAGCTCAATCTTAGCTGGGTTTAAGTAGGAAGAAGTCCTCCTCCATTGGGGCAATTAATATGCAACTGAAAGCACATTTTTATTGTTTAAGATTTAATAAACTAATATTTAACAATAATACGTAAGAAGAAGAAGAAAGTGAAATTACAAAAACGGTGGTCAAATCAAAGCTTTATATATGCATGACTGGAATTTGTTGTTACAGTCATGGCTTTATTGAAAAGTATCGTATGACTTTTAAATCTTTGGCTTAGTTAGAGGGAGGGAAAAAAACAAGTATAAATAAATATGGGGTTCCATATTTTAAAAATCCAATTGTTTAATTTTTTTTATATCTTTCTAAAGATCATGTCTACTTAATATCATTCATATCTGAAATCATATTACGTTGAATTAAATGATAGTCGTTTTAGTATTTATTTACAATATTATATTTGTTCATTTTCTTCATTATAAATAAATATATCAATTATTTTGAATGTTACAAAAATAATTTATAATAATAAATTAAAATATAAACCATTCGAATCATTGAAAATTTTAAACCCCATATATAGTTATAGAAACTTTTAGGGCAGAAATGGTAGTTGGTTGAATGTAAATGCAGATGAATAAATATAAGGATGGACAGCTGTAAGGGTTTGATGTTTGGAAGACAAAGGGCATTCAAAGAGCATGACGCTAAAGGGTATGGGGAGGTGTGGAAATTGCTCACACATTCACATTTTCAACCCCAAAAAGCACGCTGCGTTGCTTGCTTGCGAGGAACCCATGAGTAACAACTTCTTATTTATATCTTTTCGATTTATTTTTTCAGCTCTTTCTTATGAAAACTTTAACGAAAAAATTTCGATATTATTCATTTTAAAGAAAAATCATATTTTTATATTAAAAAGTCAATTATGGTACTATTCACTTTACCTTTTATTTTGTTCTTATCGTTAAAACTCAAAGTTTTCAAACCCTTTTCATTAGTTTTTCTCTTTTGTATTCTGATATGTCGTACCACAATTCCAACTGTTTGATTTTTACTCAAATGAATAAGTTTCACATTTATTTTAACTTTTTTCAAAGTTAATATTTAAATTACGTAAATTATAAAGATTTTGAATTATCGTGATATTGGAGCATGAAAATAAAAACTAAAAAAGAAAAAAATGAAAATGTGCGAGCCAAAAGGTCATTAGCACCCCTTGATTTCGAATACATAATACAATAATATTACTTGGTATTTTCAACGCGTTTATATGGATGGTATTTGCATTTTGCAAGTATGTTTTGCCTATAGAAATGAACCAGGATCCTTTCCTAAGCAGTTCCCTAGGGATCTTAGGGATCCCGCAATCTTGTCCGTTCATTTTATATCGTGCGTTCAGTTTTCATTAGGTACTATTCATATTTGAATTTTAAATTTTAAATAATTTCTGACCGCACGATATACGATGAACGAACATGATTGCGGGATCCCTAGGGAACTGCTCAAGAGAAGATCCTGGTTCTTAGAAAAGGACCAAGCGGCTTTCCAAAACTGCAAAGGACAAAAAATATCGAACATGCTTCATTAAATAAATGAAATGAAAGCTTAGCATTCAACATAACCCTTACCATGGTTCACACCATACATGTCACTCCTTTATCAATGAATTAATTTTTTATTTTTTATTTTGCTTGCGAACCAAATCGTGGTACGGCAAATTGAAAATCAGAACATCGGATGCATGGTGAATGCTTTTATCTGCTTGAGCTAAAACACCTTGAAAATTTTTATATCGACTAGATGCACTTATTCACTATCACATAAGGCCTACGTTTACGTAGAACTTAAAATTTGGGGTTGAATGTTTCTTTGTTAGTTTTTCTATCGTGTTATTAGAGAACTCAAATTTTAGTTACCTGTAAAACCAACTTCCATTGACTCTTCTGGTACTTGAAACCCACGAACACTTCAATTTGTTCATCAAGCATTGACACATTCCAACTTTGCCAAAGACTAGCACAGTCAAGTCATCTTCATATAAAATTACAAATCACCCTGTAATTAGTAAAACCTGGTGAAATAACATGCTCCCTGCTTCGATAGAAATGTAGAGTAACGGACCCGATTCTACGAGGTCCAAGTCTTCGAACCAAAATCGACTCTTCAAAACTTAGCAGGACTCCGCCATCCCACGGGATCTGTTCAATGGCATCCACTGTTTCATTGGCAATCAGATCACGGCTAACATTTCATCAAGGAAAACAAAAAATACGGCTAACATAAAAACTAATAAGTAGGTCAGGAGCAAAGAAATTTGTTCCTTAAATTTATCCCATTTCTACAGCGTGAATAGATTGACGGCATTACAAAACCAGTGAAATGAAATGTGTTGACATAAAAAACGACGACACCATGGATCAAGTAAGTCACTTGTACAACGCAGTTCCAAAGAACTTAAGCAGTAAAGGTGCATCCCCGCAGTAGATTATCTTAACTGGCTAGCTTCACAGCAAACGGGGAAAAAATGGATGCAAACTGTAGGAATTGCTGACAATCCTTTCACATTTTGTAACTCCCGTTTCAGATAGGCTGGCCTTTTGGAACGACTTGATCTTTAATCCACATGTAAATTGGAACCAGCACATAGTAAGCTCCTGCAGTTGCACCGAGAATGAACCGAAAAAGAAACACCAAGGGATTCACAGGCTTCCTTACGTCCTCCACCTTTGGACCAAGCTGCACCAAAGAAAACATCGCAAAATGTGACAAGCGAATGTATCAAAGTGAAAATAAGCCTCCTAATATAAATCTACAGCATCTTCTGCTGAAAGTTGAATTGATAATCATCTAGGTACGTGTGTAAAACTAAAACCTCAATAGCACAGTTGAGCAACTTCTGATTAAATGGTCCTTACCTGTAACTACTCAAAAAAACGAAGCGTTCTCAAATTTTCTTTTGAACTAAATCTAGTATACCCCACATCTTCATTGTAGACCGTCATATGATCTCAATCCTAAAATCTTAGATTGTATTAAGTAACATCGCTTCTTCCTGTTTTCTGTAATTGTGTTTAAAATCAACCAAAACCAGCGTTGTCACCACCAGCACCACTACTATTTACCATTGCTTCTTCCTCACCACAGCCACTAGAAAACCCCCACCAACATCACTTTTTCCGCTAATTCAAGCACCATCGTGACTGCCCATTACGATTTCCACCAGCATCACCATTTATGTCACAATCACCACCATTGTCACACACTGACACTCGTAGCTAAGCTAGTACAAGAACTGACCACCATAACCTCCACGACCAAACAACAATTTCTATGGTTGTGTTTAAATTCCCATATATTTACTGTTTCCGGGAGAATTTTGAAACAATTATGAAGAAATAGGAGATAAAAAAAACCCCAATGACATTCTTGCAGCCACCTCCACCTCCATGGCCAATCGCTTCTTGTACCACAACCGCCACTATAGTCGTGTTTAATTTCCAAACACATCTAGTTTCCAAAACAATTTGGAAACAAATATTAAAACAAAAAAGCATTAAGTTTTAAGAAAACAAGAACATGGAAAGACAAATGTATGCAAACATGCTATCAGGGTAATATGCAGAATCCATGTCATATCACCTTCAGTGGAACAAACTTCATTCTTAAGGTGCCAGCTCGAAAATAAAATATTGCCGCCTCTAGACAAAATATTTCAAGAGTATAGCAACAAGCAAGTCTCTAATTTGAATTGGAAGAAATATATTACCTGAAGAGGGGAGTCCCCACTTAAGGGCTTCACACCTGTCACAGAGCAACCCATAATCAAGCCATGGCGGCGGACACCACGGTACCATTTTGGACCAATCCTTTTCAGTTGAACATCTTCGAAACCAGCATTTTTGAACCACTCAATGTACTCCTCCTCCTTTGGGAAGAGCATCCACACATCCGAAAAGAAACGAGACAGCCAAAAGGTTGGGTACACAGGGCCTATGAGGCAAGCCTTTCCTCTTATTTTTAGTACCCTGTATGCTTCCTTGATTCCACGCTGTGGGTCGGGCCAGTACTCAATACTGAGGAACAAAATAATGAAATGGTATAAGATAAACAGAACCAACAGCAGCATATAGACCACACATTTTGTATAGTATTACAGCACCATCACTGTAAACATATGCTTTGTATTGGAATACACCAAGTTTTAAGAATTATAAAACGTAATATTCCCTTGAATTTTTCTTACCAATAAGTACTAATCGTCCGTTAATTAAGATTAACCACATAACCAGTATATAATCCTTCTCATTCACCTCAATGAAATCTGATATAAGCAATAATAAGCTTGGCTACATTTAGGATAAGATCAAGGTTCCAATCACAAAACTCATCTGAAGTTCACACAAATAACTCCATTGCTCAAAACCCCAATTGAAATTCCTTTAAATGGCAACAGATGACACAGATTACAGGAAGCAAAACAAGCAGAAGTGTTACCTTCCAGCAGAGACATATCGATCTGCATAATCGGTTGGGAACGGCAGATCCTCCGCATCGCCTTCAATGATCTTACATTCTTTCAATGGCTCCTTCTCCTTAGCCTTGGCAAGCTGGTGCGGCGATTGGTCGAGAATGGTCACATTCTTGGCATCCACATGCTTAACAATGCCAAGAGTCGTAAACCCAGTTCCACCTCCAACATCCACCACCACCATATTCCTATCGTAAAGATCCGCGGGCTCGAGCGCATCATCCCGCATATCCTCAGTCCAATGCCCCGGGTTTATAACATGATCATACACTATAGACAAAAACCTATAGAACCAGAAAGCCTCCTGCTTGTGCTGGATGAACCTAGGCTGGGAAGCAGGCCTTGACGATGACACACTGCATATGGGTCCCACTAAAGTTCTGGTCTTTTGACTCCTGCAGCCATAGCTCACTAAACCCTTGTGCGAAAAACCCCCATAAGGGTAATTTTTCCCACCAGAACCTAACCCGTTTGGTGCTACTGCTACCATTCCATTGACAAGCTTGAGATTCTGAGCTCCGTAGAGCATCGAAATCGCCATTTTCCGATAAAAGAAGGAAAACCCACAAATTTAAACAGGTAAATTTACACTTGTTGTCACTGATTACTGGAAACTAAGGTGAAAAGTTGCACTGAGGATTGAGATTTATAGTGAAGTGGGCATGCGAGCAGCAAACGTTGTGTGACTCTGGGTCCAACGCGCGCCACATGTTGCGGCACTGATGCCCATCGCTATCAGGTGAACGGCTGTACCACGTGTAATTCCCTTATTATGGGACAAAGCATTTAGTGCTTCATGGGGTGGTTGTCTGTCCTGTAACATTTGCGTAGGGACCAATCACGACAAGACAACCTCACTCTTGTAATTTATTTTCAAGATAAAATTGACTTGTGAAATATGTGAAAACACTCACGAATGCCTCTAACCTGTTAGTTTTGTTGAAAAAGTTGGAGTTTAATTGTTGTTCTTTAATTGCAACGACTAGCAAACTGCATATAATGTAAATCGTAACGATTGATATTTTGTAGAACCAACCAAGTGATACTCAAACTACATGATCAGAATCATAAATGTTGCGACAGTACTGTTGTTGCCTATCGCTATTAGGTGAATGGCCAATACGACGACGTATTATTCCCTTATTATGGGACAAGGCATTTAGTGTTTCATAGGTGTAACAGCCCGTCCCTAAAAAGTATAAATTTTTTTATAATTTTATTACATGAAATTACGGGAATACCTTAAGGGCAAAGCTTAATTTTTTAAGATGCATGTGATTCTCGTATATTTTGTCATGTTCTCGACATTTTTGGATATAGCTCGATTTTACGGACGCGTAGGCACAAGTAGAAGTGAAATTGAGGTTACGATTAAAGTTTCGTGGAGTTACGAACCCGAAAGTATTTGGAATGAATCATTATTTTAATTATCTTACACTATATTTTTATTATTATTACTAAATGATTTTTATGATATATGTGTGTGGGTGTGGCTGGTGGAAAAAGGGAGAGGAGGAGATTGAGTGGACCTGCCCAATCTGAGGAGAGAAGAGGAGAGGGCTGCTGCCTTATCAGAAAGGAGGAAGATGGGAGGACAAATCAAGGAGAGATCAGGGAGGGAAAGGAGGAAGGTGAGAGGCACCTAACCATGATCTCCTTCCCCTTAACCCGTTTCTGACCCACGTGACCCGTTTTAAAGCCCAAACGCCCGTGTGTTTTTCCGATAGTTTTTTCTCCAAATCTCCGGCAAGTTACAACCTCCCATCACCACTAAACATCATCCCAACATCCCATTGTTCCACTCTAGCCAAAATAGGCATGAATTGGTTAAGATTTCATGAAGATTGTACATTGGGTGTTGTGGCCCTTCTTGTTCGAATTCCCCTAAATATGAAACTATTTGGATCAATTACTACCACCATTCGACTTCCCTTGAGGTATGGAACAAAGCCCAATCAGTTGTAGGGGTGGCAGATCATCGAGGAGGAAGAATTGAAGCACACCATTTTCTAGGGTTCCTGCGGGTTTAAGCAAAATTGGAGCTTTTCCCGGTCAAATTAGACTTGGCCGCAGGTATAAAGTTTACTCTACTCATTGAGATCTTCATTCCTGTCAATTTTGGTAATTTTTTAAAATAGTTGGATTTTCCTGCGAATTGGGGCGGCCGACCGCCAACCTCAGCGGCGCGTGGCCAGGAGGCCGTCTTTAATTCAGTTTTGATATTTGAATGATGTAGGTTGATCGTTGGAACCTAAATTCTCTACGATACGTTAATAGGTATTTATGTGAATCGACGATCCAACCGTTGGATCATCACCAAACTTTGTTACATTGTAGTACATAATATTTGAAGAATGTAGGAACTTACGGATCTTGAATCCTATATAATGATTTTCCCGAATTGAATTTGTAAGTTCATGAAATAAAAGGTTAACCGCCACTTAGTTTTGGCAATTGGCGGAAATCCGACCGTTGGATCGTAATGGGACTTTAAGATGTTGTCCTAAAGGTATAATGTGGATCTTTGGAAGCAACAGATCAGAAATCCATGATGCAGATCTTCCAAATTGAATTACGTAGGGATGTGTTATATGTAAATTGTGTATTTTATCGGTACGAACTTTGAAATGTGATTTGATAATTGGTCATAGGCGACGAGGGTTTGTGATGTCTCGATATGTGTACTAGGGAGTTGTAGGGTGGACCTCAGGTAAGTGGGTCTTTTCCTTTTTATCATATATTATATATGTATATATATATGTGTGTGTGTGTGTGTGTGTGTGTGATTGATAATTCCACAACGTTTATAAATTTCTTATTGTGTATAATTATTGTGAATGCTTTGAAGTACTAATGTGAACTACGAATGGCTTGATCCATATTTAGGGTACGTAGGCAGTCTAATGAGACGTTAGATGCAGCCATACAATATTTGAAACAAAAACCTTGTTTGGGAATTGAGCAATGTGAAGGAAATTGATGAAAATATGAGATTTAACCTTATGTTTTTAGTGATTGGATGTTGGTCATTAATCAATGTGGAAGGAATCAAGAAATTGAAATAAGGAAACGTAAGTAATGATAGTTAATTAAACTAGTGTTTAGTTGGACTTATCTCTGATAATTATTTCCGAAAATAAATAATTCGGGAGTAGGACGTTATAGATTGTGCATTTTACGCCACATTATATATATGTATATATTGGAAAAATACTATGATATGGTTGAGTTTTAGATTTGAATTATAGCATATCCATGTGTATACTACCTGCACACGATTATTATGAATGCTTTGAAGTGCGAAGATGAACGCGAAACACACAGGTAAGTTCAGGTGAATTGTGGTATTAGTTGAAATGATTGAGTTATGGCATGATCACATTATGTTTTAGGCAACTCTAACATTGTCGTACAAGTTGCCTATGAGTTGTATATGTCACATGAGATGCATTTAGAGCTTATAAATATGCACCTCGGTGTTAGTGCTCCCGCACATGGCCAGGGCACAGTCCTTCACATGATGTTCACCTCCTGCACCTTACGCTCGCCTTGGATCCAAGGTAGGTGCACATGCCTGTCATACAGATCACTATAGGTGGTTTCGACTCGTAGGTGACTCGCGATTATTCGCATAATCTTCACGTGATCGTAGCACTTGAGCGTATTTATTTACACCCAGTCCTATCATACAGACCACTTTAGGTGGTTCCAACTCCTGTGCAGGTATACTTATTGAGCTATGGATAAGTCGTACAGGTCATTAGAGGTGACTCCGACTTATGAGCTAGCATATATGATGAAATATGTGATGAGCTAGCATATATGATAAGATGTGTGATGAGCTAGCATATATGATGTGATATGTGATGAGCTAGCATATATGATAAGATATGTGATGAGCTAGTATATATGATGAAATATGTGATGAGCTAGCATATATAGTGTGATATGTGATGAGCTAGCATATATGATGCGATATGTGATGAGCTAGCATATATGATGAGATATGTGATGACTAGCATATATGATGTGATATGTGATGAGCTAGCATATATGATAAGATATGTGATGAGCTAGCATATATGATGTGATATGTGATGAGCTAGCATATATAATGTAATATGTGATGAGCTAACATATATGATGAGATATGGGTAAGTTATACAGGTCACCATAGGTGACTCCGACTTGCGTGCTAGTATGGGTTATTAATCACATGATTATTGATATTGCTGATGAGATGCTGTGTTGTGGTATATTTATGATTTTTCTGGAAACTATACAGGCGTTGTAGCAAGGGGTTATAATGTTTTATATGGTTTCTATTAAAATTTTATTTTCAGGGCCACTCACCCTTGTTTTGTTTTCACCCTCCAGGTTTTATTAGCTTAGTTTTCTTATCGTCGAAGATTCGTGGCGATTATTAGTATTGGAGATTATTTCGAGGGTACGATTCTTAATTCACTCTACTGTACTTACTTATGCTCTAACGTCACGTGTGAAGTGGGATCATTCCTGCTCACCAGCGCATTTTGGTATTTAGGCACTCTTAGGTTTAAATTTATTCACATTTTTCCACATCATCATACTTTATGGCTTCGTCACCCTCCAGGTGTTGGCCAACACAGTTCGATTCAGAATCCTAGTGGACATCCCGGGTCAGGGTGTGTCAATAGGGGTTGTTGTCAGTCATGTGACATTTGCATAGAAACCAATCATGACAAGACAACTTCACTCTAGCAATTTATTTTCAAGTGACATGATAGGATAAATTTGACTTGTGAAATGAGTGAAAACATTCGCGGGTGCCTCTAACCCGTTAGTTTTGTTAAAAAAGTTGGAGTTTAATTGTTGTTCATTAATTGCAACGACTAGTAAACTGCGTATATTGTAAATCGCAATGATTGATATTTTGTAGAACCAACCAAGTGATACTCAAACTGCATGATCAAAATCATAAATGTTGCGACAATACTACTATTGCCTATCGCTATTAGGTGAACAGCCAATATGGCCACGTATTATTCCCTTATTATGGGGCAAAGCATTTAGTGCTTCATAGGGGTGGTTGTCAGTCATGTGACATTTGCATAGGGACCAATCATGACAAGACAACTTCACTCTAGCAATTTATTTTCAAGTAACATGATAGGATAAATTTGACTTGTGAAATGTGGGAAAACACTTACGGGTGCCTCTAACCCGTTAATTTTGTTGAAAAAGTGGAGTTTAATTGTTGTTCTTTAATTGCAACGACTGGTAAACTGCGTATAGTGTAAATCGTAACGATTGACATTTTGTAGATCCAACCAAGTGATAGTCAAACTGCATGATCAGAATCATAAATGTTGCGATAGTATTGCTGTTGCCTATATTAGGTGAACGGCCAATACGGTGATGTATTATTCCCTTATTATGGGACAAAGCATTTAGTGTTTCATAGGGGTGGTTGTCAGTCATGTGACATTTGCATAGGGACCAATCATGACAAGACAACTTCACTCTAGCAATTTATTTTCAAGTGACATGATAGGATAAATTTGACTTGTGAAATGTGTGAAAACACTCACGGGTGCCTCTAACCCGTTAGTTTTGTTGAAAAAGTTGAAGTTTAATTGTTCTTTAATTGCAACAACTAGTAACCCGCGTTTAGTGTAAATTGCAACAATTGATATTTTGTAGAACCAACCAAGTGATACTTAAACTGCATGATCAGAATCATAAATGTGTAAACACTCACATGTGCCTCTAACCCGTTAATTTTGTTGAAAAAGTGACGGTTCAATTGTTGTCCTTCAAT